AACTTTGATCATAAAAGGCAGCTCCTACCATTGTCTCTGATTTGGCTCCATCTGTATATATTTTAATCGAATTACTATATTTATAATTTATTTCTTGTAAAACGTTAGCTTTAAGTTGATTGATTTCATATAAGTTTTTTGCCTTATCAATACATTCCAAATTAGTATAAATGGTTCTATATATATCTATATTTGTTAACCACGTATTCATGGTGAACATTTTCAAAGTGCTAGATGAAAACAGTTTCTCATGTTTAATTTCACTATATATACAAGGCAAGGTTTCTTTTTAGAACGCCAAAAAGGTTTTGTACTAATGTAGTAATTTAGTTCATCAAATAATTTACTTGTTATATTGTTTGACCAAGTTCGTAATTTAAAACAGAATTTCACAGCCAAGTAATATCTTCTTAAGTATAAGGGTGGAATGCAAAGTTCATACTCCATTACATGAATAGGTGTAGATTTAATAAATCCCCCAATTAACCGCAAAGCTTGATTTTGAATAATTTCTAATTTACTTAGGTGTGTTTTTGCACTATTATCATAGAAAAAACAACCGTAATCAATTTTACTTCTTATTAGACATATATATAATTTTCTTAAATATTTTGGGTGAACTCCCCACGAAGGTCCAGTTAACATTTTTAACATATTTAAACTTTTTGTTGCTGTTTGAGCTAACTCACTTATGTGTTTATTCCATAAAAGAGATCGATCTAGCCACATTCCTAAATATTTAATATGGTTTGTAGAAGTAATTGTGTTATTATTAACGCTGACTGTAACATGATCATTCCGTCGCTTCCTACTAAAAGTGCACAGCTTAGACTTACTAGTTGATAAATCTAATCCTATATGATCTAGAAATGTGACAAACAAATTTAATGCTTCCTGAATACTAATTTTGCTTTCGCTTATTTGGCCATGATGTGAAAACAAAACAAAATCATCAGCATACTGACATATGAAGACATTTTTAATTAGTTGATGAATTTTATGCCTAGCAATATTAAAAAGCAGTGGAGACAGAGGGTCACCCTGGGCTAGGCCTTTGTTTGTCCTTCTAGTTTTCTCTTTATTATTAACAATATTTTTGATGCTTAGTTGTCTTTCACTTAAGAAATTCCATAAATATATACAGAATTTACTTCCCATACCTAAATTATCTATTATTTCTAAAACTTTATGTATCAAAATATTATTATATGCATTTTCAATGTCAAGGAAGCATGCCAAGGTTGGCATATTTTTCGAAAATCCAATTTGTATTTGTGTAATTAATCTGATTAAATAGTCTAAACTGGATTGAACTCGTCTAAATCCTGTAACATTAGGTGCTAAAATATTATTTTTCTCTACAAACCATTCCATTCTCTTACTAAGCATTACGTGAAAAATTTTACATAAACATGACAAAAGTGATATAGGTCTTAGTTTATCCGTATTACCTGCCTTAGGAATTGCCACTACTAAAATTTTATGCCACTGTTCAGGGACTTTACCTGTTAGAAAAATGAGGTTGTAAATTCTAAGAAGAGTCAGTTTACCATTAGTTGGAAGATTAAAAATCATAGAGTATGTTATTTCATCTTCTCCTGGGGCCGTATCTTTCTTTTTGATGCAAAAATTTAGTTCATGTAGACCTAGGTCAGATTCCAAATACAAGTTATTTGAATAAAATTCTGGTGTATTTAATGGTACTGAATCAGGAGCTAAATTAGAAAGAAGTTCTTCACCTTGTACATCAGTTATAAGGGATGGATAGTTCTTACTTCCCTTTATCCACTGCATTTTATGCCACATTTCAGTATCCGATTTAGTTTCATCTATAGAGTCACAAAAATTATGCCAGTCATTTGATCTAGCCTCATAAAGTTTAAGTTGCACTTCTTTTAGTTTATCCTCCAGTAGTTTTAAATTTTGTGGAATAGGATTTCGCCGTAGATTCTTCAGGGCTAATCGTCTCTGGGCTACGAGATTCGATAAAACAGGGGTCCAATATCGTTTAGGTGTAAATTTTTGTGTAGGGTTTAAGCACATTTTATATTTTGGAATATATTCATCGGCGGCTTTGTTTATAAGATTTACAAATTCATCATATATATCCTGTACATCATTACTATGCTTAACATGTTTAAACAAACTTTCTAAATATGTTTTATAACCTACCCAATTAGCCAATTTATAGTTTCTTTTGTTTGTAAAGTTAAAACTAGTTTTATATTTCAGACTAAATTTAACAACTAGATGGTCGCTTCCTAAATTTTCATTAAGTGTAGTCCAACTAAATTTAATTGCTATATTTGTTGAAACAAAAGTTATATCAGGAGAAGTTTCTGTTAAAACACCATTTACTAATTTCACCCTGGTGGGGCTACCATTATTTAGAGAAATAAGATCATTTTCAATTGAAGAATTTAAGAGGTGATTGCCTCGTGTATCATTTTTATAGGACTAGTCTATAATCTATATTATATAAAAGAGAGTCCGGTTAGTTACACTATTTGCAACTCAAGAACGGCTGCACCGATTTTTATTATCTTTAAGTTGTTGGATTTTTCTCCGCCTCGAATAACAGAATAACTATTAAAATATCGGAAGCGTATGGAAGTATCGATTTGATGCGTAAATTTTATAAATTAGACTACTTCTTATTTCAATCATATTAGAAACAAGCGCAATGTCCGGCGTATACCTTATATGGCTAAATCATAGGTACTTAAATCAAGTAAAGGGCGTGGCGTACGGGGATTGCAGACAAATAATGCCAACTTGTAAACCCGATTCGTGTGATTAAATACACTTTATTATTAGAATAAGTAATGTTTATCAACTAGAATTTATATTTTCTTGTGTTCTTATTTCTGAAATATAATTTCCTACCATAAAGAAAGGTAAGTAAACATTACCATTTTCTGAGATAGTCGGTAATGAAATGAAATAAACATTGATCTTTAAAAATTTCATAGTAATATTATAACTATGAAACATAATGCATTAGACTTTAATAGTCCTACCTTACAATAATTATATTACAATACATATATACTCGTATGTCAAGAAAGGCAAATAATTTATGCGACATGTGAAATGTCAAGGTGAGTTTTATCATTGTAAGCGGTACAAAGGGCACATGCTAAGTAATCGTCGTCTTAGAGCCCCCTCGCAGTACCGGACCGCGACCAAATGGTATCGGAGACCACATTTGCTTAAATTATTGTTTATCACTTCGGCTATCAGTAGCATAGAAGTGCGCGGTGGTGTTTAGCAGGGATTTTTTCTTTTTTTATTTCAGTCACACAGATACACGATGTAGTCACAGTTTTAATTCAGTCGTTTGCTTTATAGCTTTTAGTCGAATAACGAAAACAGACATTTAGGGAAGTTTTTGCTAATAGACTCTTAAATTGATATACCTACGAGTATATCAAGTTGTTTCGTATGTGGCAAGTCAGTTAGTTTAAAGACTCATGGTCCAGACGATTACTCATCGCGAAACAAGTTCCCGCGCTGATAATCGGTTATCAGAACACGGTCTGCTAATTAAATATCAAGAAGTGCAAGCCTTTTATGCAATTATGCGTTAATTATGATCACCGTTAGAGACTGTTAGTACATGTGGTGTTAAAGCGTGATTAAATAACTCAGAACAATGAAGTTAAGCAATATTCCTTAATATTCGCTCACTCTATTATTATTACGATTTGTTATATTGTATTAACTTATATTTTTTTTCTCTTAGTTCGTCATTTTAGTCTTATATCAAATGATTGAAATGGAAAATAAACGTATCAAATCGTTAACGTGGGCAGCCGTGATTAACGTTTAGCTCGTTATCAGTACAAAATGCTAATTAGTACTTGGAGTGCTAGAAAGTAGAAACTAATAATTTCTTAGCACTTAGTGAGAGAATAAAAAAAATAATTTGAACATTTTATATTTAATAATAGTTATCTTACATTGAAGTCGACTTTTACGAAGCTAATGTTACAAACATTACTGTGCCTCAACTCAGCCAATACACACACTCGCGACAATAGTTTGATATTCAATTTCTATCTATACTGTAATAAAACAGTAGAGGTCGAATGTCTGTACATATCAAAAAAATGCTAAAAACCGGGTCAGGGCGATGTAAGAAGACAAATAGAACACATCCAGATTTTTTTCAATTTTTTTTGTTTCTCTGTCTGTTTGTATGGGCTAATCTCCGAATCTATTGGACCGATTTAAATGAAATTATGCATGGTGGTACCTTATATCCCCAGGCAACATCTTAGATACTTTTTATCCCGGAAAGTTAAAGAGTTCCCGTGGGATAGTTAAAAAACTATAGTATCTTATACAGCTTAGTACACAACAACTTATGCACCTAATTTAGTAAAATTTAACATTCAGATACCTTATATTGCCGGTCATACAACAGGTTACTTTTCATCCCAGAAAAATGAACGGTTCTAATAGATACTACTACGGAACTAATAGATCTCTATTAGTGTTTTTCTAGATAGTTTTAAATAAAATCAGTTGCGTAATATCACGCAGTTTTTATCGAAATAACACCTGTTATACAAAATTATTTTATTTCAAGAAAATCAATGCTTCATTACGAAAAAGTACCTACGAGCTACGCAACAAATAATTTTTAATTTATGAATATTGATATGAAGTTTTCAAGCTATTTTTTTCGTATGATATCTACGTTATTATTCTGGTGGTTCTGGTGGTCCGTGGTGTTCTTTAGATATATTATAAGTACCTAATTATGTCTTTATTATTCGTAAATACATATTAACAAAATTTATTTCTTTTACAGGTGCGAAAACAGTACGTGGCGCTGGCTTAACGCCAACATCCAAACGCATGCTGATGACACAATAAATTGTGATGCTGACACGTACAGGTCCCTATAGAAAACTGCGTCCTAGAGGACGACGAAGGACGTTTTAGTAAACGAATTATTTTTCTAAAAGCAAGTGCCTAATTAACTGTTAATAATGTTGAATAACCGTCGCAACTTTGTCTTTAGAGTGAGTATAGTGATAAATATCGCCGTGCTGTTATACGCGGCGATGCACTTATCCAGTAACACTTCACCAGGTGTGGAATGGGTACCGATAACTGTTGATGGATCAGAAAGGAGTGCAGAATTCAGGTATATTAATAGAGAAGAAATGCGAAATTATACAGATACGAGGCCACCAGAATCAAGTGTTCGAAACCTCGAAGAGTCTACCTCCCAAAAGACACCGTCTACAATGCCGACCACTAACAAAACCGCCTCGAGTACAGTTTCTATACCTGAAACTGATAAGAAGTTAAACAGTGCTTTGCCTGAGCCTGAAACATCAAATGGAACAGTGCTAGAAATCGATGATGAGGATGCGTTACATCCAATGACGCTTAACTATCTTCGTACATTATTGGACTGCAATGATAAGGACATGCTGTCTCAAACTGTACAGCGTGGTGATTTTTGGGTTCTAAAGAATTTTGTTCGTGCTGATCATGGAATTATACAGTGTCATGAATCTGTAACGTATACAACACATGCCGGCTTCGAGTTTCTTGACAACGTTCAGCCTCTTGTAGAAAGGTAAGCCATTATTAGTTCTTTCTGCTATATTTTTTCTAGTATTGGTTGAAGTTATGATAAAGTTCGTTTTATCCTTAACGAGAAATATAGTACCGTAACGACTTTGCCATTTCTCTAGAAACTTGTTTACCTTCGAAGTAAATACTTTATATGTTCCCTCCTCTGACGACACATTTACTGGTTTCCTGCGGCCTTGCGAGAAGTACATCATTACCTTCTCAGTTTGTTTCCTGTCGGCATCTCTGATTTGGGTTTTATCATATTAATCATAGATCGTCGAATCACTTCAAATGTATGAAGTACCTAAATATGTAAAGATTCAACTTGCATAAAGTATTATTATAGCCAGAAAATTTGATATAATCCAATCAATGACATTACTTAATTATAATAACAGGTTTAAAGATTTTGATTTTTACTAAATAAATGAAAATGATAAATTGCATAATTACACAACTTTCTTTAGCCACCATTCTAAACCACTCCTAAATTCATTAAGGTCGATTGACGTTTTCACTTCTATACATGGCATATGTAGCTCCAACACAACTCCACTTGAATGCGTATTAACGCTCTATAATATGATCTCGTATCGTATTGTGTGACGTAAAGTGAATACTCGCCTCTTAAAACTTGAATTTCCAAATATCTACGAGTACCTAAATTATAAATCTATATCTCGAAATTCATTTTTTTTATTCTTTTTATGAAATTTCTCGTTAAAATGATGACGCCGCTCTATTAGGATTACATACAAAATTCTATTTTTCAATATTTTATATATGATATTAATGTCCTCCTGACCGATTCCGGCCACGGCGGCCAATCTCACTGAGACTAGCCAGATGCGCAGGAGATGTTATAATGCACAAATGTGTACGCAGACACAAGTGCACTCTCTACCTATTCCTTTTACTCTCAATGTCCGATGGGACGATACTTCGACACGACCGGTGAAAGTTAGGGCCAATCCACACTATAGTGCTGATCACAGTCCGTTCTCGGTCCGATATCGGTCTGATAAAGTATTTCTATACAAGGAACGTAGCTGGAGCGTGATTCGACGGAAACAAGAGTCTTATTGATGGTTTGAACGCTATTTTACCAAACCGATATCAGACCAAAAACGGACTGTGATCGGCACGCTATACATATACCATAAACGGCATTGTGTGGAGCGGCCCTTAAGGCGTAGGACCGACGGTTATACATGCTCTCCGATACACGCGGGTGAAACATCGCCAACTTCCCAACTCCGAGCTATTATTCGAATTCTTGACAGAAATCCCATTAATATTATAAATGCGAAAGTTTGGATGGATGTTACTCAATCACGTCAGAAGTGCTGAACGGATCTGGATTGGCAGAGAGATAGATTATAGTCTGGAATAGAACATAGGTTACCTTTTATCCTGGAAATTGTGCAGTTCCCGTGTTTTTGTTTTTCACTAGGGACGAACCTGAGAGAAGCGAGAGTAATTCGCTATTACTCAATAACTAAACTCGGTCTGACCTGGGATTTGAACCCAGAACCTCCGGATCTGCAGCCATACATGCTAGCCATTATATCACCAATGCAGTTTAAAATATCTGTAGTATACATTAAAATAAGTTTTATATATTTATAATCTTACAGTAGATTTATTGATAGATAAGTAACCAGTGTAGCATAAACGCTGCGTAACACGTAACTTGAGACTAGTTGCACTGCATAATGATTGCAACGTATTGCGTATGTTAATAATAAAACAAGAATGTACATGAAGCATTAAAACTATATGCCTATACGCATTAAATATACCTATATACAAATATAGTACCATAAAAAACTATTATTTTGCAAGTTCAAACCCATTCGATCGAGACGAAGCTTTTATAGATATGATGTAGCCGTTTTATACGCCAATTAAAATAAACTACTTTGAACGATTACGAAGCTGCTGTAATGCCTTTATATATTTTAATTTGCAGATATAATTCTTCATTAGATTACCATACTATATATAGCCGTATACGATAGAATAAATTCTCGTTTATTATTTTAATTATTAAAGGAACCTTGTTATCTAATAAACCTCAGGATATTCTGGATTGTAAAAGAATTATTTTTAAGATTTTTTATTACGATTATTGACTTTTAGTGGCATATCGCTTTTGTTATCCTTAGTACAAATTGCCTCACATGTTGAAACATCTCACTTAAATTGTAAACACATTGCCGGTTTGAATCCCGTATAGATGCACATATTCATATCGTATACTAGCTTGTATGCTAGCTAGCTTGCTTCCCAATACAAACTTTCATCCCCATTTTCACCCCCTTAAGGGATGATTTCCGGAATAAAAAGTATGCTATGTCCTTCCCAGGGTCTCAAACTATCTTCTTACCAAATTTCATCAATATCGATTCAGTAGATCCAGAGATTACCCCCTACAACGACACAAACTCACAATCTCACAAACTCACGAACTTCATTTACCTCTTTATAATATTACTAGCGGCTCACCCTCGCTTCGCTCAGGTTCGTCGCTAGGTACGTTTTAAATAGGTATAAATAGTTTAATTTTTTTTGTTAATAATATTGACATTAATATTTATACGATACTAACGTCACTCATTTGTTTTGCCTTCCCGGAACCTCTCCACTAACACTTAAACTTTATGGTATGGTATTAAAGTTCAAATTGACTTTTAAGTATTATTACGGATCTTTTGTATGGGAGTATAGAAAAGTGTTGTTTTTAAATTTTTTCAGACAATTTTTTAATTTTTTCTCTCCGTAATAACCATCCTCGTACTTCAAGGAATATTCTAAAAAAAGAATTAGCGAAATCGTTTCTTTTTTATATTATAGAATAGAATAAAAATTATAGAATAAATGTATGTTTCCTTGTATGGACATTGAAATTACAGTAAAGCAACATTTATAATTAGGACTGCATAATATAAATTGAAGCTTGGTCCGTAAGGATATAAAGGACCAGGTTTAAAGCCATATAAATCAGTGAGCCTATAACACCCTTTCTGTCTTCGTTGTACCGACAGCAAGCAATAATCATTTGAAATGAACATCAAGTGTCCGACTTAGATCGCATCCCGCGATGGTGAATTATGTTCTGTCTGGCACGGATTGACCTCGCACATTTTACGACCATCTAGTTACGGAACGAGATGTCGTTGAATGATTGTACGGACACGTACCGCTTTTATAACCTTAATATTTTGCTTGTAATTTATTTGGTGTTAAGTATTTGGCAATGGAATAAATAATAAGCTGATTTTCACTTTTAATGAAATTTATAAAAAGGTTCGATATAATGTTTATTTGGAAAAGTATATTTATCAAAGTTAATAATTATAATAATATAGTAAATAATTAATATTACGTTAAAATAATTAATGTTGTAACTGTATAGATATGAAGATTAGTATGTTAGTTTAATTCTATACTTTAAAGTTTAGATAATAGAAAGGCGAAAACTATAATATAGGTCCATCAAGCAGCTTGAAAAATGTCCTTGATTGCACTATAGTTGATTGTACCCTTTTACGGGTCGGAGTGGGTGGGTGAAAGGAAATTTTAACAGACGCGCTAATTTAATATTTTTTGTTCAATTTGCCTTTAATTTATAGCCGGCCGAACATCTGTGTAGTCCGCAAACGCTGCACATGGATATTTGTGCGGCAAAAAGTATAAGAAATGATTTGCAATTTGGTCATAAGTATGTATCTACCACATCAGAAACTTTACAATATCTGCCAATTAAAGTGTGATTATAATCTCATCGGCGCGTTCGTCGAGAGTGCGTTTCCATTATACTAATGACAGTTTTCATGAATGAAATAGAATTTCATATGTGAAATTTTATAGTAAAAATAAAAGATGGTGAAACTAATTGACAATATTCACATGCCTTGTTTATTTAAAAAAAAAACAAGTTTATCCTATTTTAAATTTAATTGTGTCTACATAAAGTGCTGTCTGGACTCTAGATAAAGGATATAGGTATGGTGTTCGTATGCCACTCGAAACGACTGTACCTACGCATTGACACTCATTTACGCATTAATTTTTTATTCGTCAATTATCACGTTAAATTAATTTTTTTAGTTATTTTTTTTATCATATTTAAATTATTACAACAAAAACATGACTTCCATCACGGTTTCTGTAATGAAGGTCATTATCATTTCACAAAGCAATTTTGTGAATATTGGAAGTTGGAACATTATACGTTCTAATTTAGTTTTTGTTGATGTAAAGCTTATTATTCTGCGAAAATTGGTATTAAAAAGATCTTGTTGTGAAGAGTTTTTTTACTTATAATGCTATAAAATTGCCAATTATATATATCGAAGTTAACTGAAGAGTACCTAACTTTCAAATTTACTTAATGGTATTTGAAAAACCTAACTTCTTATCTTCTAGGTACTTGATTTTGGTGTGTCAATAAAAACTCGCCTATGTGTTAACGAAGGATAAGCTATCTCCATTGCGACTTTTAATCGATAAAGTTCGGTTGACCCTCACAAACTTTCGTACTTACAAAGTGATAGTGTTATAATTTATATTACCAAATATTATTTCCCTCCATTACTTTCATTGTTATCCAAAAACTTGGATTCACACAGAATATTGTATTATAAATTTAAACTTCTTTCGGGAAAGACATAGGTTATAGAAATATGACTTAGCTAAGACTTGAACACTTACCTAACTAACCATGTCGTATCGGATTACTATAAAAAATGCAAAGGTTCGTGTATGTGTGCATGCGTGCGTGCGTGCATGTGCTAGGTACTTCACGCAGAAACTTCCCTCCCTAAGTGTCTTATGTGTTACTCCAGGTCAAAATCTCTCTATAGATGTAAGTAAAGTACTAGTCTATCTAATTTCGATAAATAATATTGAATGTTTTACTGTAAGTTTCTCCTCTATGCAATTCTAAACCATTTATCCGATTTGATGAAACTTTGGTGTTCCTAAACCATTAATCCC